AAGTAGACATTTCATTCACATACCAATACACACACTGCTTTCCCACAGCATTCGTATTTGAAGCCTCCACACCTCACATTCAATGAAACGGGTTAAGTCATTTGATAAAAACAGGATAAGAATGTCAATATATGTAAATATGCAAAATCAGAATGTCGTTAGGCTGATGCAAAATTGATTTATTTTTGTTTTTTACTGTTTATCCAACCTTTGTGGGTTATTTAAAGTCAAAACATTTTGGATTCCAAAAACAATTCTTTATTTGGGAATAAGCATTGCATTAAAAAGTCTTAGAGAAAAAAAAACTATGATTTTTCAAGATACAAGGCGGAAGAGTCCGGTTTTCTATTTAACCCAGAGCTATGGGGCAGAATGGATTCATATATTTCCCAATATGCATGGAAGTGAATGTAATGAATTCAACTGGAATTGGAAATGTTGTGACTGTGTCCAGAAATTTAGAGGACAGGGAATTTTTCTTAAGTATTAGTTTTTTTTTTTTTTTTACATTGTGATGAAACAAACAATAGATGCGATTCAATTTGACATTCACTGGAGGTATTGAAGACAAGAGAGAAACAGTGAGTAACATGTCCAATGGGCTTATGTAAATGGTTGGTTGGGTTTTATGGCATATCAACCACTGTAGGTCATTTAATGCCAAATTAAGTTTTATATATATATATATATATATATATATATATATATATATATATATATAGTACTATTAAACGTATAGCTGGCAACATTATTTTTTTTTCAAAAACATTATCAGAGGCCTTGCTGTTGCATGTAGTCTATCGCCATACCCGGGATGCGGGTAAGAACTGAAAAAAACTAGGAGTTCACTATTTGCCCATAGCTGGGACCCTAACAGGTGCTACAACCCTGGATCAGGGTGGACCTGGGAACACCAGCAATTAAGAGGTGGTTCCATGTTCCTCAAAACCTCCTGATCAGAGGCCTTGCTGTTGGATGCAGTTTAACGTCTTACCCAGGATACGGATGTAAATGGATTGCAGAACAGTGCAGGAGGGACAGTAAAGGAACATATACTGATTACAGTGAGAAAAAGAGTAACTTGTAGAGGGTTATTGCTCACCCACAATGTTTTGGACATTGTGTCTGCCACCCTTCTTCCAGTGTATGCTGATCAGAAATAACTATCACAGAATTTCTACCTATTCCCTTTATTTAATCTACACATATATGTTAATACTGTTCCACTGTATATGTCCAGAGATACCTTTTTTTTCAGACTGCTCAGTTATTGCTCATCTGGTTTCCAATGAGCAAACTATTCCAGTCCAAAGATTGAACTAACAAAAACAAAAAATAAGATAACATCAATCCCTCATTTAAGAAATATGAACAACAAAGGTGATAATGCCACTAAGATGCAATGAGTTAATGTGAGTGAAAGAGAATGAAAAATTTTTTTTAGAAGGAACCAGAAACTTAATGCTAAACAGCAAACATGGGATAAGACCCCACTTATTCAAAATATTGAGAAGAAGCATGAACCAGACAAATAAAACTATCTACTCCTATTGAGAGAAAATATACAAGCAAATCGTAAATAAGGTTTTCAAAGTTTTAGGCAGAGACATCATAAGAACTGAAGTAGACTTTAAAAGGAACTGGAAACCCAATCCTAAAAATGGATAAGCCTCCATGCCTGTTCCAAAATCCAGGGAGATATGAACCAGGCAATATAAATTCATGGTATTATTGTTAGTATTCTAGGATTAATTGAATCATTTTTTATGAATTATCAACCCTTTGTGGGTTATTTAAAACCCAAACATTTTGGATTGTAAGTTTTTTGGGTTTTTTTTGTGAGTGAATATTACATTAACAAACAGGTGGAAAAACTATTTCCGTAGTTTAATATGAAAGAGAAAGAAGGAGTTGGGGAGATAACCAGTTATCGCTCCTCACAACTCGGACAAAGAAAATAAAATTACCTGTGCACAACCGACTAAAATATTATAACAGAAAATATACTGTATCAACAATATACCGAGACCGTATTTTCATACTAAATCATGCCGAGTCCCAGCAACTATTCTTTCTGTTTAAATAAGGAAGGTTGCTTTGACTTAATAAGAACATTTCTATGACCTTAAGATGATAATTTGAATATGACCTGTACAGGAGCAAGTACATGACCTCTCGGCAAGCTGAAGCATACTCCTGGTTAGGTACAAAGTGCTGTGATTGCAAACCCAGATGTAATGACAGACACATATGCAAAGTATATAGTTGACCTTTACTTTTTTTTTATTTTTTAATAGCTCCAATGTCAGAGACATTAACATGAAGTTTCTAAGAGTGGATAGTAGTAGTCTTACTTGGTGGTAGTATCAGACCATGTGAGAAAAGGAAAGGCAATAAAATATGATGAGTGAAGACCAGGTCAAGAGTGAAAGTTTAGTATTGACAAGTATTGTGAAATTAATCAAACACACACAGAAGAGAAAAAGAGAGAAAAGAGAGAAGAGAGGAAAAAAGAGAGAAGAGAGGAAAAAAGAGAGAAGAGAGGAAAAAAGAGAGAGAAAAAAAAAGAAGGAAAAAGAGAAAGAAAAAAGAGAAAAAGAGAGAAGAGAAAAAAGAAAAGAGAAGAGAGGAAAAAAGAAAAGAGAAGAGAGGAAAAAAAGAGAGAAAAGAGAAAAAAAAGAGAAAAAAAGAGAGGAAAAAGAGAGAAGAGAGGAAAAGAAAAGAGAAGAGAGAAAAGAAAAGAGAAAAGAGAAAAAAGAAAAGAGAAGAGAGGAAAAAGAGAGAAGAGAAAAAGAAAAGAGAAAAGAAGAAGAAAAGAGAAAAGAAAAGAAGAGAAAAGAGAAGAAGAGAAAAAGAGAAGAGAAGAGAAAAAGAAGAGAAAAGAGAAGAAAAGAAAGAGAAAAAAAAAGAAAAAAAGAGAAGAAAAGAGAAGAGAAGAAAAAAAAAAAGAAAAAAAGAGAAAAGAAGAAAAAAGAAGAGAAAAGAGAGAAAATAAGAGAAGAGAGAAGAGAAGAGAAAAAGAGGAAGAGAAGAGAAGAGAGAAGAGAAAAGAGAAAAAGAGTAAAAAGAGAAGAGAAAAATAAAAAATAAAATAAAAATGGCAGATATACATAAAAAAGGTTTTATGCAATCAGATTTGAAATTGAACACATTGTTTTAGGACATACACTTACATGAAATACTTTTACAAATCAGAGAAAAGAAGCAAAGCAATAAAGCCACTAAGACGCAAAGGGTTACACTACTAAGGAGAGATAATAAAAAAACAAACAAAGAGAATTAAGGAGGCAAGGATTTTACATTTAAATTTTTGAAGATTAAACTCAACTGTGAAGCCAAAAGAGAGTTCCACAAGCAAGAGAGAAGAAACTGTTAGCATAGAACTTACAGTTACCTTCTAGCCATTTCGACAGCAAAATGGTGAAATACTGACAACAATCTAGTACTGTACTTAAATTCATGAAGTCTAGGCATAATAGCGAAGACTTCATCATAGTAATTACCATGAAAGTATTTATAGAAAAGGCAAAGATGTTATGGCAAAGGGACTGAAAATGATGAGACCAAGCTGCCACTCTAGTACTGCACTTAAATTTGTAAAATCCATATGTTCCTGTGTTCTTGAGTGAGACCAAAAAGGAAAGTTCCTCAAAATAATATTTATAGAAAAGTCACAGAGAACTATGCTCTGCTATTATTAATCCTCAATGAATCAAATTGCATCTACCACAAGGTAATCCTCCTGTTAGTCTGAATATTGACCAACAAACAAATGAAACATTTTCAATATGGCTACAGGCATTTTATAGAAGCCATCACTTGGTGGCACTAAACAACAAGCAAAAGGCAAGGGCAATAACTACAATCTTAACAGAAGCTATATTATAGCAGTGGGAAAGATACCAGGTCAAGACCAATAAAATTGCATATTCTTTGGTTTTTATTAAGAATCTCTAAATGTATAGCAAGAGCCCCAGACCAGATGCAGCAGCAATATTCAAAGCATAGAATGGTAGATTTATAAATACAAGAGATAAGTTCTATCAAGAAAAATTTTGTCAGTAAAATTGGGTAGACAAAAGTAATTGGGAGCCGTTGACAGAGGGTTTGAGCGTACTGGCCTTGTTCACACTGTTGATCATACCATATAATATGCTTTCTTCCAGAAACTGTAACTAAGGCCAGAGTGGGTTCTGTGCGAGTTAAACATAAAAATGTGACTGAGCAGGTGTCTACAACAGGGACTGGACACACACACACACACACACACACACACACACACACACAGGGTGCCCATAAAGTTTGTGTGCACTTTTTAAAAAAAATTTAGAAAACAAATAAAGAATTTAATAAATTTTTTTTTATACATAATGGTTTAGTGATATAAATCTTACTATTTAACCTATAACCAGGTGGGGGGGAGAGGTGGATTTATATCTAATATACCTATAAATTTTTTAAAGTGCACACGAGCTTTATGGACACCCTGTATATGGTACTTATTGGAAAGTGCTCAATATTAGTGATAGGGCTAACATATTCAGTTGTATGGATACGAGTTTATTGACCCTGGGTTTCACTCTTTTGCAATCATCAGACAAACTGGTTTGTTTTTGAAAATCGAATCTGTTTATGCTTGTTTGTGTTTGATTATGTTTGGTGGGGGCAGGGAAATTCTTCAGTTTTCATTTTGGAATGACACTCGCACACACA